CAGGTATCAGAAACTGATATTGATGAGGTGATCACCCGCAATGAAAATAGAAACACTACCAAGAAAACCCTGCCTGAGTTTGTTCTTCTTTTTAGACAGAAAGATCTTATTTTAGGCATGAGCTATGTTTGCACTGTATTAGCGACTAGTCACAACCATATGCCGCCGTCATGAACGACCTTCACCTTTGTGTTACGCTAAGTATTCTTACGCGAATGCTCGAGATTCTCTTCATATAAAAATTCACGTACGATTTGCTACTTTTTTAAGAGTGAGTGAGTGAGTGAGTGAGTTAATATTTATCGGCAATATTTCAGCCATATCGTGACGAGAACAGTTTATGATTATATTAAAGATCAATAAAGTTAGAAATTAAAAACCTGTTGACGAAGAACAGTAAAACTACTAGTGTATCACAGATATCCATTTAAAACTTGTAATAAAATCTAAAATATTGGAGTGAGTGAGTGACAATACAATATAAAAACAGGCTATAGATTACCAACGACTGAAGGTAGATCACCATACTAGGGACCATGCTTCCTTTTAAGAGTAATTTTAAGTATGAAATTATATGATAAAGAGATTATTAACCTCGTGTGTTTTCGTATCATTAATATAATATATTAGGAATAAAAATTATATATTACTCGTCTGTGTAAGATAATGCAGTGTAATATTTTTACGGCAGTATTACACTAGTGTAAAACTGCTTAACGTATGACGTCATAATGGTTACAGCTATGACGTCACAATGCTAATATCTCTGTCACAATGGCATTAGACCTTACTTGACTCGAGGAAAGATGACTCAAGTCATCACACTCTAGGCAGTTTCTATCAATTTATGTTGGAGAGTAATAAACAGAACACTAAACTAGCTTCCGTGAAATACTATTTTTATTAAACTCGTGAACGATTTAGTATCAAACTCGCTTTCGCTCGTTTGATACCAAATCATGAACTCATTTAATAATGGTATTACATGGAAGGTCGTTTAGTATACTCTATGTATTATGCGAGCCTTACATTATTTTTATTCCTAATATATGATATTAATGATAAAGGCTCGCATAATACATAATTTTTATTCCTAATATATGATATTAATGATACGGAAACACACGAGGTTAATAACCTCTATGTCATGTATAGTTAAAATGTTTTAGATTTAAGTACTAATTTTAAATTCATGTTGCTGTTTTTAGTTTTATGCCATCGGAAATTATTTCTTTTCATAATTAGGAAGGTAACCCACATTTCGAAACACAGAAAGCTGTTTTTCCATGTTAACTTGTAACCCTCAAGACATACAACATTTAAACAAGATGCCGATTTTCCTCTGCAACCCAACCACACTATCATCAAAAATACATAAATCATCAGCATACAATTTCGTCACCGATAAATATACCTCTGACATCAGAATCGTCTATTATATACTTCCCATCAATAGTTTAGACTCACTATATGTTATGTATATATGTATGGTTACATCGAAGATTGATTTCTCCACTAACTTGGGGGAACCAACTGCAAGCCATATGCAGATGAATTGCATGAGGATCATGCAACAAATTGATGAAAAGCATGTGCAAATATCGTGCATATGAGTGACTGTGTCAGTTAAGATTTAAAGTCACATCGGCAATATTTCAGCCATATCGTGACTAAAGCTAGTTCTAAGTTAATAATATATACATATAATACGAAGGACGAAGGACAGTAAAATTACTAGACTATCACAAAATGAGTTAAAACTAGCTAGCACATATCTTTCAAAAGTAGAAACCTATTTTTGGACAATACAATGTAAAAATGGGCTATAGATCGCCAGCAACTGAAGGTACCTACAGGGACCCTAGCTGGATTTACACCATCCCTTCAGCCACTGGCGATTGTAGACCACCCCGGAGTGGGTTATGGCCATTCATATCAGCCATTAAAATACAGGATTTTGGGAGTTGGTCGTAGAGATTTTGAAGATCGGCCTGTACAAGTGTTGAAGAAGGAGGAATATATAGAGAGCATAATGTAAAAGTAACATGTAAAGTAAGTCGCACTGCAATGGCTTGGAAATTACTATTAAGTGTGACAGGGTTATGGATAATATTCTGCCGAACAAGGATTGATGATCCTACAGAGGCTCTCTCACCTGCAGGAGAAAAACAGTGATATCCATTGAATTGACGTAATTCAAATTTACAATGAACAGAAATGATTTAGCTTTGATTTAAAGCCGGTTGTCTGTTTTAGATAAGTTTCCTGCAGACAGAATAATGACGGTGTAAAATCATGTACGAATAAATGTATTTCATTAAAATTTGTCCTCTACAATTCCACTGTATTTTTTTATTGGAATAACCTATCTTTTTGGGGAATGATTGGGGTTCTACCGCGGACGTTTTTTCGTGAGTGACAAGCTATGCGCCCGTGGATGGAAGTTTTCGGACACTTCCATCTCCTCAAGTGAACCATATTAATTATAGAATTTAGTTTGATTATCTGATCCCTTTGATACTCTGTCAAGTCTGATATTTTTTTCGAAGATTCTGGCTTTGGTTTACTTTTAGTTTTACTTTTACTGACTTGGATATTTGCACGTGCTACAGATGAGTCGTGATTACCCATTGATTCAGACTGGATTTGAGATTTGCTTGGAATTATTGCAGCTGCGTGTGTGGATTGTTCTGGTGAAAACTTCTCAGGAGTATCAGTTTTCACCCAAGTCAAATCTGTCTGACATGTTATTGATGCCGTTATGACTTTTGTTAGTTTGGGGTATGTATCAGAAAGGGTTCTGGTAATTGACGCATATGTTCCCTTCAATTCTGGAGTTTGTACACGTTATTTTTGCTTCTGCAAAGCTGATGATTCCACTAAATTTAATTTGTTTATCTCAAGTTGTTGTTTCAATATTGGACGTTTGGTCTAGAAGCCAGACCCCCAAAATGGTAAAAACGTATTGGAGTTCTGGCAACCGAATGGGATGTGATTTTTCACAATCAGGAATGATTTAGCTTTGATTTAATGCCGGTTGTCATCAGCTATCGTGCGTGACTACCGTGCAGGGGCCCTTTTAATGTGCAACATGTCATGTCAGTTATGGCAATATTTTAAACCAATAACTGGATGATTTAATTTAATAACTCTGGCTTGGTTTGACCGATTTTCATCAAACAAATAGTTTTGGAATGCTCAGACCATGATTTAAAAATGTGGACAATAATATTACATATATGCTCATCTCAAAAAATAGTTTTTGGTACGGTCAAAGGTCAAGTTTAATAGAAAGGGCATTTGATGAGAAAATATGAGTTGAACTTTACAATTGTTTCCAAAATTATGTTTTTCATAATTCAGCTTTATCATTTGAAGATCATATATACCTTTGGTTGGCATTGTATTCATGAAAAACCATTACAAGGAAACAAAGGTTGGTACTTTGTATTTAGATCAGCAAAATATAAGATAATTGCAGCTTCATGCGTTACAAAGTATCAACAATACTAAATATGTCCAAGATACTGATGAACTATCATACAAATTTGCGATTATTGACAATCTGGCAGAAACAACAATTCGGCTGATATGTTTTGATAAGTGTCAGTATTGCACTGACATGCCGTGAAACCCTTAAAGCTGATGGATAATAATATGACATCATAATGGAAGGTTTGCAAGTGACATTATGGTGTAACATTTTTCTGTTTATAATGTGAAATATTACGACATTGGTTTTATTTATTTATTTTACACCGGCAATCATTAATACATTGTAAAAGATGTGACACACTGATCAGAAAGGCGTTATGGTATCTTACTACCAAATATACACACAGTCATGTCATCATAACGCAAGCAACATTGCCTTCGTATTTATTGTTTTAATAGTCCCGGTTGAAATGTTAGTCAATGTCAACATTGTCAAGATCAGGGAAACATGCTTCCCGATCCACATGCCAAAGTAAGCAGCAGGTTCAACCTCTTGCAGCTACATCTTACCATGCATAGGCGTTTACATGCACCGATATGTTGAAGAAGGTCCACGGAAACGATTTAGTCTTATTTGTAACTTTATCACAGAGGAACAGTGGGCTATTTGATGAAGATCAATTACGACAGAAGAGTGCTGCTTAAAATATAGAACATTAAGTGTCTACTCTTATGGACAACTCAAAGAAATTCCTAGACAATATTACCGACTCCATGGTATAGTGGTTAGAGCGTCTGCCCGGAGGGCGGAAGGTCGCGGGTTCGATCCCCGACCGCGTCATACCAAAAGACGTTGGTCCCTGCCTGGCGCTCGGCATTAATGGGTACAACAAGGACTGGTCGGCTCGGAGTCAGTATAATGTGTCTGAGTGGGATATTCATACTTCACTGCGGCATGGTATCTCAGTGGGCTAGCACTATAAAACCAGCTTAAGTCTGGGCTAGTACAAGCAGCCGCACATACACATACACACGCATGCACGTCGTCATATGAGCGAAATATTCTCAAGCACGAACTTCAACCCAATTCACCTCACCTCACCTCACCTAGACAAGATTCATATAAACATCTTGCTTCTACTGTAACGTTCATAAAAGTATGCATACCTCGGTTTAGTAATATGTAATGAGTGAGTGAGTGAGTTAAAATTTAACGTCACATCGGCAATATTTCAGCCATATCGTGACGAGAACAATTAATTTTATGCATAGTAAGTAATGGTAATGGTCAACGAAGGACAGTAAAATAACTAGATTTTCACAGATTCGAATTTAAAACTAGTTATTAAATCTAAAACAATTTAACTATAGATGACAATACAAGGTAAAAACAGGCTATATATTGCCAACAACTGAAGGTAGATCACCATACTAGGGCCCATGGGGACTTACAGTACATTTGCTTCCTGCATTTACCCTAGCTGGATTTACACCATCCCCTCAGCCACTAGCAATTTTAGATACTCTAGCCACAAATTAAAGGAGAATTTGTCGATTTTTCGCAGATCCTGAGGGATATCTTCAATACTGAACAAACCACGGAAACAAATCCACCTAAAGCCTTTGATGGAGACAGGAATGAGCCTTATGAATTAGATAAGGTAAAGGAACATGAAAAGTTTCATGGACAAGATTCCACATTAACTAATGAGATAAAAGTTGGAGCGTCTGTCAGTGTTTCCACCAATTTGAACATTAGTTCGCGTTTTGTCGACCAGAAAACCCAGACTATTTCACAGCAACAAGTTACATCACAGCGTACACGGAGGATTCAAGTTACAAGTCCTTGCCAGTGCAAGCCAGTCACTACAATTTCCACAGAAATTCAATGTGATCTTGTATCATTGCCACCACTAAAGCTATTTTCATCTAAATGTGCACCCATATCACAAGTTTCATCTAAACAGCATGAGGTGTGCAGTGTCCCCATCCAAGCAGTGGAGGATATTGATGCTTGTGAGGAATACTCAGAGTTGGAAGAAAGTGAAACTGATGCAGACTGTGATACAGATACTGATAACGAAACTGAACCATTTCTCTACTTGTCAGCAAATCCCCAGACAGAAAGACAGTTTCTTGTCTCTGAAACCTCACTTGCCAAACTATTCCAGTATTGCTCACATCAGTCAGGTTCAAGTTCATTTTGTGGCATGACTTGTCAAGTGAAACTGATGCGACATCAAGGCGTTATGATAACTGTGGAGACAGACTGCTTGAAGGGGCACACTACAAGATGGAACAGTCAGTCAATGCATGGGACAATGCCTTGGGGCAATCTTCTGTGTGCCAGCAGTATTCTTTTTAGCGGGTGATGTGCCACCCAAGTATTGAGAATGTTCAAGTTCAGGAAAATGCCAATTTTTAGCATGGGTACTCTCATCAACATACAGCGATGCTATACAGTACCATCTTGTCTAAAAGTTTGGCATGAACATCAGTCCAGCTTGTTGAAGCGTGTTGGTGGGAATCCACTTATTTTGGAAGGTGATGGGAGATGTGACACACCAGGACATTGTGCGAAGTATGGCACATACACCTTGATGGATCTTCGCGACAGAAGAATTTTGGATATATAGCTTGTCCAGGTGAGTGAGAATAAGTGAGACCCCAAGGCAGTGCTGCACATGTTATAAAGATTTGTATAAAAGGTAGCAATATTGACAAGACATGTTGTGCTTGATGCTGCTTGCAGCACTATTCCAGATATATATAACTGCAGCCTATAATAAATCAAATCTGGAGCAGACAATTCAGTGATTGATATGTTCTCGCTTTCATTTTAGAGCAATGAAGTGAAGAATTCACACCACATGGAACTTGAGGGACTGAAGCGAGGATTGTCATTTCTTAAACAGAAAGGGTGTGCCATTAAGGAAGTCATCACAGATCGCCATGTCTCAGTGAAGAAATACATGAGAGAGGAGCATAAAGACAAGAAACATTACTTTGATGTTTGGCATGTAACCAAAGGTAAGGATACACATAATATATTTTGTGTTAATCTGTTTATGATACAGATTCTTGATATACATCAATTACTATTTGCCGGCATTCATAAAATTATCTTGTGATCATATGGTTAACATAAAAAATACACCTGATAAAATTGGGTTAGCTTCTAGTATTTTACATAAACCAATGTAAATATGTGAAATGTGCTGTGGACTGTTTGGATATGAAAACTGTTGTCTACCACTAAATTACATATTCCAATTGATGCCAGGAATTGGGAAGAAACTGGAAGCAGAAGCCAAAAAATGTGGATGTGCTGCAATCCGTCCTTGGATCAAGTCGACGACAAACCATATGTACTGGGTAGCAGCATCTTGTAAAGATGAACCAGATATGAAAGTGGATAAATGGTTGTCAGTCACAAATCATGTTGCAAACAAACATGAAGGACACTCAGCTAAGTTCCAGCAGTGCGAGCATGCACCACTGACTGAGGAAAGACTATGGTTAAAAGAAGGTTAGTTTTTTTTAAAAATATACTTAAACATCAGGGCTCGATTTAAGAGTTGTTAACCTACTTGCACCAGGTGCAACCTAAGATAAAAAGTTGCACCAGCCAAATTCCATTGCTTTCACTGCAATATGTAATTAGTGAAACATGCTACTGAATTATTTAGATGTTACATTTAGAAGTTTAGAAGTAATATTGGTTAGCACCAGTGTAAGGAACAAAGCACTAAATCGAGCCCTGAACATTAACAGCATTTCATATGTGACCAATTCGTCGGTTATACACACAGTCAGGCATTAATTTACAGTGAGTGTTAAAATACTATAAAGGTACACATGCCATTAACCATGATAACATGAATGAAGTAGCAATTTTGTTTTTACAGGTTCTAAACCATACAAAGCTTTCATGGAGGTTGTCAGCAGTGGTTACCTTGTGAGTGATTTGCCAAACCAGTCTCCAGTGTATCAGACTTATGCATTGGAGGTTTTCCACAGTGTCGGTAAATCACTTTGCGCCTAAGAACACCCACTACTTTTATGCTGCAATGATGGCAAGGTGAGATATGCAGAGAACCCATACAATATTTCATAATATTCACTTAGTATTTCTACAATAAATACATTACAGAAGCCTCTTATTGCCATGTAGTGTTCTTGATTGAACCTGTGATGCTTGGTTTACACTTTGTAGAAGTATGTTCAATAACCATTGCAATGACATACATTTTTCAGTTATCAAGCAAAATTTGACCATTTCAGAATGTTCCTTTAAGAGCTTTAAACCCTTTGTTAAGGAAGACTTGGTCACCCAATGAAAGTCAAGATTCTGTATGTCCAAATAGAGTAAATTCAAGACAACAGACTGCTTGACTTTTTCAATATGTCATTTGCATTACTGTTGTGGGTGTGAATGGAGCGTCTATGACCTCGTCATTACCTGCTGTCTGGTTCCTTGTACATGACATCTTTTATGTATAAGAAGGGGTAGCTTAGTCAGGTAGAACAAGAGACCACTGGCCATTAAAGAGCTTTATTGACATGAAATATACAAAGAACTAACATATATAGAAGAATGATGAGCATTTTTCACTGTGATCTCATGAATAAACTTTGCTCCATGATTGTTACAAACTTGAGATGTTTATATTTATGCCTTACTGAAAATGATCTGGCAATGTTTTCTTGTTATATCTCTGGCCTCAGACTACACGACATCCTCAAACCAGAAAATGACATAGTTAGGTTGTTTTATGCAAATGAATACATTTGTGAAATTTACCTTTGACTTTATCTTTATTTGCACTTCACACACCCATAGTACATGCATACAAGTGATATTGTCAGGCAGTGGAGAGTATTTGTTTCTGTGTAAAAAGGCATGATACAAAACCATTGACATCTGGCAGGTGAAAAGGATTAACCTCAGGGGTGGAAATAACTTAAAACTTGCTAGTGTACTGCGGTACAGTGGCACACGTAAAATCACTTAGCCTGATAATTTTCCCACTATACCGATTGATTTTCTTGATGACTTTTTAAATAAACAACATACTTACCATTGGAAAGTCAACTTTACACTGGTACAGTGTGATATACAACAAATTTGATTGTCCGACAGAAAAAACCCGATGGACTGGGACATCTGAACCTGACATGGCATTTATATGACAATATAATCTATTTCGGTAAACAAACATACAACTTATTTCACTGACAAAGTACAATCTTATCTACAGACCTGATAAGATGAAAGTCTTCTCACTTAGCTCATACTTCACATATTCATCCAAATATATTTCAAAAGAGGTTGGAAATTAATAATGTATGTAAAAACATCAAAGATTGTCATGGTTTTGCATACTTGAACCCGGTGTATGAGTCTGATTCTGCTGAGAATGCCTCTCTAATTTTCTTCGAAACACATGGAGGACGAACTGTCCTACATTTCTTTGGAAGACGATGGTATACCAGTCTGGAGAAGCGACGATATGAAGAGTATCTGTATGCCCTGTAATTGAAGAGAAGTGATATCACCTTTTCATTTAGTAGGTGCCTTCGCAAAATTGTATTTTAAAACATAAACTATGAATCTCCCGAGGAAATATTTTCATAAATGTACCTTTACCAAGACGAGATGCTCCAATAGTATGTTAACTATAATATCCCATTCCTCATTTCCATCTTTGCAACAAATAGTTCATAATAATAACTTACTCATGTACTGGCTCGTTGTCGTCAAGTGGTCCATCCTGCTGAACAAACTCCAGTAATGAAACCCAAACGACTCCTCTCTTCAGACAATTGTCCACAAAATATGAGTGTTCAGTGATCCACTCCACAGCTGCTTCTTCGCACAAATGTTCCGTTTGCTGAATCTCCTGGCAACACTTACTTTCAAGACCAGTTGGCATAGGGATGCACTCACCACAGTCACACCTAAGAAATATATTAAAGTATATTGAAAACATCTAAAATGAGAATCAATTGAGCCGAGCGCCAGCAATATGCACGCCTTTATCAATCAAGCAAAAAACGTGCTTATTGCTTCGAATGTTATTATGAATAATATCCCATAAGCCGTGTATGAACAAGACGATGTGTTACAACAAAACGAATTCCTATGAACGATGTATCCGGGATATAAGATGTGACAAAGTGCCGACAGCGTAGGATAAACAAAACTGCTTCTAGACAGCAATTAGTACTTCATGAATCACATTAACAATATATACCTGAACCAATAAAACCGATTATTCGACAGTTGTTTATATGACGAACTTACCAGTCTGTGTTCCCGAGTCTTCCGATGTTGACATCAAGTGGTGCCTCCGTTTCGCTGGATTCTTCTCCTTCATCTTCACTGGAAGTTTCTCTTGCATGATGTAAATTCGGCTCGTATTGGTACGGTCTAACATCCAGGTCAAAAATGACTTCGGGAACATCATTTAGTGCCTCAGAATCCATGGTCACTCTCAAGTTGTCAAACATAACCAAAGAGGAAGCCATCGGCAACAGGCACATGTGACGTCATGTCACGTGATACCAGCCTCTGCTCATTAACTGTCTGGTGTTTCCGTAATAGGCGGAATTTCGAGGGCGTTTTTCACGTTTTTATTGCGACTTTACAAACTCTTTGTAAAATTTTAAAAACGGAAAGTGACTTTTAGGGTGCTTTCTTCCATATATCAAAAAAATTTCGTTAGTATTCTCCTTTAAACGAACATATATTATACGATTAAAATGGTAGTATGTTTAAACTTACTTTGAATGTTTTGGGACTTACGTACCCTCTCAGGAGGACAATAATTTTACGCTACTTCAAACCCCTTTGAGGGCACTGCCACTAACAATCTAAGTTACTAATCAAATCTACCAATAATTAAAATACATGTATGTACAGAACATATTATTCAAAATTCATTCATTAAATCAATTTCTTTTAAAAAGCCAATAATTAAATGAAAATTAACAGTGTTAAAAAGATTCTTAACTGTTTTCACATTGAAGTATTTATCCCTTATGATGGAGAATTCAACACAGTCAAGCAGGACATTCTTGACCGTGGTTCTCTCATCACAAGGGATACAAAACGGAGGATCCTCACCTTTCAATAGGTATGCATGAGTGTATCTAGTGTGGCCAATACGACATCGTCGCATGATGTCCTCTTCAAATCTGGACTGACAACCCAAGTAAGTGTAACCGATATAGGGTTTTACTTCATGTAATTTATTGATACCTACTTGGGTGTCCCCTTCTTCTGCATCAGATCACAGATGTAAGTTCTAATGCTAGCTTTGTAAACAGAGTATGGGATCAGAAGTGGTGTCACAGATTTATTGAGTGCTGCCTTAGCAGCAAGATCGGCCATTGTGTTCCCAGAAATGCCAACGTGGCTGGGTAACCAACAAAAGACAATATCGCATTGGCCAGTAGCAAGCTCATTATACAATTCAATAATTTCTAATAAAAGTGGATGTTTACAAGAACGATTTTTAATAGCCTGAAGACATGAAGGAGAATCGGAAAATATTATGTATTGTATATATTTGCGGTGTTAATTAATATATTTAAGACCTGTTAATATGGCGTTAGCTTTTGCTGTGAAAATGGAGCTGCCGTTTGGTAGTCGAGACGATATATTATATTTACTTTTTAATTGATTATATACTTGTTTATATTGTAATTCATTAGTTTCTGCTTTTTTAAATGCTGTTAATGTTAGGTCAACTTGTGGCCTAACCAACCGCCAAGGAGGAGAAGAAAGAAGACGGGAAGGAGCTATATTTTCCAGCTCAATGCCAGCAGCAGAAATGAATGGTTTAATTCTTAAACCAAGAGGTGGAACAAGAGAGGGCTTTTTGTTGTACAAATCCTCATAAAGAGGATTAAAGACACAGTTGAATGCAGGGTTAGACTCGTTAGAATAAACTTTTGTTATATACTGAAAGGACAAATTTATACGGCGTTGTGTAAGAGATGGTTCATCTGCCTCGACGTAGAGACTGTCAACAGGAGAAGTTCTAAAGGATCCGAGACAAAGTCTTAGACCTTGGTGATGGACAGAATCTAAAAGTTGCTTTTGCAGGCTCCACCATATACGATGGAGCCATAATCAAGTTTCGAGCGGACCAATGATCGGTATAGATGTAGGAGAGTGGCTTGATCCCCTCCCCACTTAGAATTTCAACAAGTCAAGTGCCTTCAGGCATTTAGTTTTAAGGGATTTAATATGCGGCAGAAACGTTAAATGAGAGTCGAAAAATTAAACCCAAGAACTTGGCCTCCTTTACAACTTTGATGGGAGTGCCATTGAGAAACATTTCCGGGTCTTTATGCGGTTTATATTTTCTACAAAAAGGTATACAATTAGTTTTGGATTTAGAAAATTTAAAACCGTTTTCAAGACACCATTTATTTCTTTTATTTAAACACAACTGCAGTTGCCGTTCAATAGCATGCATATTCTTACCGCGACAAGAAATATTAAAATCATCCACAAAAAGTGATCCATCAATTGAATCGGTTAAAACCTTTGATAAACTGTGAATCTTAATGCTAATGAAGTGACAGACAAAATACTGCCTTGTGGGACACCCTGATCCTTATTGTAATGATCAAACAGGGTAGAACCCACGCGGACTTGAAATTGTCTGTCATTTAAAAAGTTGGCTATAAATTGAGGCAAGCGGACTCGCAATCCAAAGCCATGTAAATCTTTTAAAATGCCATATTTCCACGTAGTGTCATATGCTTTTTCTTGATAAAAAAAGATAGACACAGTGTGTTGTTTATTAATTAGAGCTTTTTTAACAAATGATTCTAAAAGCACCAAGTGATCGACAGTACTTTTGTTTCTTACGGAAACCACATTGTATATCTGTTATGAGGTTATTGGTTTCCAAGTACCAAACAAGTCGATTATTTATCATGCGTTCCATGGTCTTGAAAAAACAGCTAGTTAGTGCAATTGGTCTATAATTGGAAGGATCAGTATGATCACGTCCAGGTTTAGGGATGGGCACAATTATAGCATTACACGCCACGATGAAGGAAATTGTCCAGATGTCCAAATGTCATAAAAAATACGTAAGAGCGTCTCTTAACATGATTCAGGTAAGTGTTTCAGTAGTTGATAATGTATACCATCAGCTCCTGAAGCAGTATCGTGAGCTTTGTCAAGAGCAGTATGAAGCTCATGTATCGAAAAGGTTTCATTGTAGTCTTCCCCATTGTCTGAATTAAAATTAATAGATTTCTTTTCCTGCTGTCTTTCATATTTCTGGAATTCAGGTTCATAGTTAGATGAGGAAGAATGTTTGGCCAAAGTTTCTCCAAGTTTATTTGCTATGTCAGATTTATCAGTTAATAATTCATCTCCATCTTTGAGATGCTTAATGCTAGATTTAGAGCCCTTACCTTTTATTTTCTGGATCATGTTCCACACCTTTGATTTCAGCGTGCGCGAATTGATGTTTGAGAGATAGTTTCGCCAAGATTGGTGTTTACTTTGTTTAAAAGTACGCCGTGCTTTGGCGTTAAAATTCTAAAGTTGTTTAAATTGTGGACCATAGGATGACAACAGAAATAATGTTCAGCTTTCTTCCGTGCCTTGCGGGCTTGTTTTCATTCGGCGCTAAACCATGGTTTACGCACATGAGGAACTGCAGAGGAATTGGGGATACACTTGTCAGCTATGTGTCTGTGCTCATCTGAAAAACATTTTAAGGCATCAGGAAGATCATGAAAAAGTTCAGGTTTGAGTTTTTCAGCACAGTAAGTTTCATATATAGGCCAGTTAGCCTTCTTAAAGTTCAATCTTGATGATGGAGGAACATCAGATGGATTCACTGGTTTTAGTATTGTTGGGAAATTGTCACTTCCACACAGGTCGTCGTGGACTGACCACTCAATAAGTCTGAGTCTGTAATTGATAAATAAAGGGCTGAATATGTTCCTGTGCCAGGATGTAAATATGTGTTAGAACCGTCATTATATATGCATAAATCATTATCTGAAGAAAAGTCTTCTAATAGTTTACCTTTAGCATTAGTAGTTGTACCACCCAAGAGCGGATTGTGACCATTTAAATCTCCCATAATGATACAAGGTTTCGGGAGTTGGTCATATAAATTTTGAAGGTCAGTCTTCTGAAGAGTTGAAGTCGGTGAGATGTATAAAGAGCATAATGTGAACGCAACATGTAACGTCAGTCGTACGGCAACCGCCTGGAGACCAGTATTAAGTATAACAGGGCTATGGATAACATTTTGTTTGATAAGGATCGAAGATCCTCCATTGGCCCGATCGATCACCTGGTGATGAAAAGGAATGGTATGCATCAAATGTATCCGTCTGTTTTAAATATGTCTCATGGAGACAAATGGCTGATGGTGTGAAGTCCTGGACTAATAGCTGCAAATCATTTAAATTATTCCTTAGCCCTCTGCAGTCCCACTGTACAATATTGTTAAAAGACATTATCTTTTTGTGGGATATATTGGGGATCTACCCCTTGCTCTCCTTGAGGACGATAAGCTATGTGCCCTAATTTGGATGTTTTCGGACACATCCATGTCCTCTAAGGATCCGAACTTATTAAAAAGTTGGATCTTGTCATTTGATCCTTTGGGGGCTCTGCTACTTTGACTATTGTGCAAATCATTTCTGGCTTTGACTTTATGTTTTGTAAGATGGTTCCCATTATTTTGTGATTGATGTTTTGGTATGGGCTGTAATGACGATGACAGTGATTGTTCTTGAGATGATGACCGTGACTGCACTTGAGCTGTTTTTGGAACTGATTCAGCTGTCTGAGTGGACTGGTTTGGCGAGTATATTTCAGGGGTTTCTGCATCCACCCATGTCAGATCAGTTTGGCACAGTGTTGATGTGGATACAGTTGCTTTGTGACTGACGGCAGAGTGTGCTCTAGTATTTGAGGCATAAGATGTATTTGGTTCTGGTGTGGGAACAAGAAGTTTCTTAGCATCAGCAAAACTGATATTCTGTGTAAATAAAAATTTATTGAGCTCCATTTGTTGTTTCCATATTGGACATTGTTTAGAGAAAGAAGAATGCGTCCCTGAGCAGTTGATGCATTCTTTAACGGTATTATTTCAATCCTCAGTAACATGGGTTTTCTCACTGCATTGAGCGCATGTTACCGAGTTAGTACAGTTATTGGCACCGTGTCCGTACTTCTGGCATTTGAAACATCTCATTGGATTGGGAATATAAGTATCAACACTGATATTGCAATATCCTGCTCTAACTGATTTTGGAATGGTTGGAGAAGAAAAATGGAAGAAATAAGTATTTTTAGGTTTTGTTTCAGAGTTTATTCGGGTTGTAAATCTTTAACAAAAGACTCTCCTTGCTCTTTCATTTCTGATACGATGTCAAGTGGAGTCATATCAGCAAACAATCGATCTCTATCTCTGACAATCCCTTTGCTTGTGTTCAGAGTTCTGTACGGGGAAACCGAGACCGGAACTCCAGCGGACAACAGGTTGGTGGATTGTTGATTTCTGCTACATTCTATAAGTAGAGAACCCGAACCCAATCGTTTGATAATTCTGACCTCACCTGCGATCCCATGTATACCTTTTGATACGGCAAAAGGGTTTAATTTAATAGGCGATTTGTCAAGAGTCTCGATAACGAGAAATCGTGGCCAATATTCATTTGAGTTGGACAGTCGCGGTTCATCATCATCATCATCATCAGTGTCAAGCTGACGTTTGTTTCTTTTAAGGGGGGTTGTGTAAGCCATAGCTAATGTAGTATAGTTCATCATCTGAGCTACTCACCCACCACGGAGAATCACAAGGACAATGCTTAAAGCAAGTGTGTCTCCAACTTGCAGCACCAAGGATACTCAGATGATATACTCCAGCAGAAGAACTAACAGAATAACTATTCCACTGGATTGGCCCATTTGCCAACGCCTCCTGGGCATACGACTCTAGGCAAATTTAAAATTTATTGAATTTTGAAATCAATATAAGCTCTGTGAATTAATATGGCCAATACCCAAAACAGGATCAATTAGTGAAATAACATTTGTGCAATATGAAAGACAATGCACAGGGCATGGCGTGACCAGCTGATTGGTTGAACCGGGCCCATTCAACCACCCGTCTAGGTGAAGTCAGGGCCGAAGTGATGTGTTGGACAAAGGAACACTGTTCCTGGAACCAGTGCCCTCAACCACCAGAATCCCTTCCTCCACCGACACAGGGGCGCAACCCACGGCAAACGGGTTGGTGGACCAAATATACCCCCGGGTCCACAACGGGGGGATCGAAGAGCGCTTAGCGTTACCCAGCACCCACCACGAGGAGGTGGCTCTTCACGGGTGCCAGTAATATGTAATGATGTACACAAAAGAGTTACACATAGCATGGTCATGACACTATGAGCATCGGTCTTCACAAGTGGGATACGATGGCATGCATCAAACAAGTAAGTGAGGACAACCACCCAATCACATTAGTTCGCTCTTAAAACATGGGTTGCTGAAGATTACGTTGACCCAACATATTTAGGAACCTTTGATAATGGTTAATGAATAAATTCACTCTCATTGTGTCTATTGTAGATCATTCCAAATGCTATTATTGACAACAGAATGTATGTCGCAAATATCTGTTCTGGTCTCTGCATAAGTCGTGCCTCAGAGAGCCAATTGTCAAGTTGAATTTAATTACTATCAGTTATTCAAGCACAGAAGTTGGTATATAGAATTTACGCCGACAGATGCTTTAGAATTATATTTTGCGCGGAAAACCTTGAATCGTTTATACATATTGACAGAAGTGAGTGACCTCGTCTAGATGGATACTAAAAGGCCACCTGTCGTTCCTTTCCCAATTTCAGTATATCGCATGACTACGCTGTCCTTTAAGCATAGAGCGAATGAATTGACAATAGTTATCGCTTCATGGAATTGGCTCACGTGAATCACTATCTTCATCTGCTGATGAACGTCAGTTCAAACATTTTGACATACCCCACCTGTGATCAGCAGAGTGTGTTTCAAATGAAGGACATCTTCTGCTTGTCCAAATCTAAATATATTGAACATCATTAAAAAACACACCACTTATAAAAGTTCAGATTATTAAAAGCACGTGTAAGGAATTGATATTTTTTGAGTGGATAATAACAGATGGACGACTGACAAAACCAACAACACAGAAAGGACGCTCATTCATTGAAATGTTCCACAGTCAGAAAGGATCAAACACACGTGGGGTCAAATCGAAAAGTCAATATCGCGTGTGACCGCCATTTGCATTGACACATGCAGTTCAACGTCTCCTCATTGAGTCAATAACCGTCCGAATAGAGTTCTTGAGGATGTTTCGGATCTGTTGTCGCCGCGAAAGACTTTGACCAATTTCCTACCCATAAGTGCTCCATGGGGGGATACATCTGGCGACTGTGCTGGCCAATGAATAACCTGGATGTATTGCTGGGCCAAACACTGCATGGAAAGTCTTGTTGTGTACGCCCGTGCGTTGTCCTGTTGAAAAGTATGGACAGCTTGGTGGTGATTGAAGACAGATACGATGTGATTCTGAGGAATCTGCTCACGGTAAAAAAGGGCATTAACTTTCCCTTGACAGACGTGAAGGCAGTCCTGTGATTGTAATTTATTCCACCCCAAACCATGACACTCACACCACTCAAAGGTCTGTCTGAACCACACACTCATCAGAATAACGTTCACCACGTCTACGCCAAACACGCAATAAGCCGTCAGCATTACGTAGATGAAGACGTGACTCGTCAGTGACTACCACACCATGCCATTGTTGTAACCTTTACTGAAAATGCCTGCTAGCCCATTGTATACGCTCATTACGGTGTCTGTCAGTCAGAATTGGTCCAACGTAAGGACGTCGAGCATGGAGCCATGTAGCGTGTAGACGGCGTCGCATGGAGACAGCGCTGATGACCCCCACGTCAATCCTGAACTAGTGCAGCAGTCCTGGCAGTCAGCAGTGTTCAATCCCTGATATGGACATGGTCAATATGGCGATCCTGATGGAGCGTCGTAACACGTTGTTGCCAAGGTCATTGAAGGTCACGGGTGCTGCCTGTCTACTGATGTCGTCTATGAAGCCTAATGATGGTGGAGTGGCCAAGTCCAAGTTGTCGAGCAATATCCCTGCTGTTATTGCCAACCTGAATCATGCCTAGTGCACGTTCTCTTTCGTGAGGTGTTAACCTCGGCATCTCTGTCCTCGTTTCACATGAATCGTTAGTGAAGCAATATGAATCGGTTCTCATACACCTGCTTTTAATGTCACAATCAGTATGATTTTAGAATGAAATTCGCGCTTTTTTCATGGCGTGGCTGCATGTTGATGCATTTTGGAATTAAGAGTCATACTGTGGACAGGAATTTGTTTCAAAAGCATTTTTTCACTTGGACATGCCCTTCGACTTCATGTTAGTTACATTCATTGATCATTGTCATGCTGAAATCCATCTTGATGAAAATATGGACAATTTTAGACTGGTGCGTTTTCAATGATGTTCAGTATATTTATTTTCCGAAAAAGGAATGCTAATATCACTAAAGTACTGTCGGAAATGCTAGGAAAATTCTTTTTAGACTTAATACTTTGATAAAGTCGATAAACGTACTATGTTGTCAATATATCAACTCGACTATAGTGTACCGAATTTTTATTTCAATCAATTAAACATTGAGAAATCTGAAATAGTCTTTAAATTTATGCTAATAACACATGTGGTGCAAAAATATAAATTAATGTTTTTTCTTAAACAAATAAATGTTGAATGTTTGTGCTACTTGACTTAAATATCGTTTCCTCATTGACGAAAAATGAATATAAATGTTAAGTCTTAATAAAAAAGTTTCCCGTCATGCATGTACATCTTTATCACAGCGTTCACTATGGTCAACGATTTGCAGTCGATTGTTGCAAATGGTTTATAAGTTTTTTGTGCTTGGGAAAGACAGAGGTAAACCGTTCATTAGTTTAGAAGGGGTTTATTACTGAACTTGTAGACCTGTTGGTATGTCTTACCAGCAAGTTTGCAATATTGTAAACAAATCAGACAAGACATCGACCGTCCCAAAAGCAAAACCGGGACGTAAAACCATCCTTGACAACTTTGACCAGTTGTGTGGTTAGACGGGCGGTCTACAAACTTTATGTGAAGAAGATTCCACCTAAATGTAGGAGTATCAGAGAGGAAATTAAGGACAGTATCAACGTCTCCAGAACCACACTCATCATTGCCCTCCATGAGATGGGGTTCAAGTACAAAGCCCGTGGTGATGACAGAGCTGTACTCTATTGTTTCCATGAGATCCTCTTACTGTGGCAGAATACCGTGCCCTTGGCTTCCAGATAGTTTACCTGGATGAAACTTGGGTCAACAAGAACCATTCTGCGGACTATATGTGGTTACCCACAGACCGACAGAGAGCCCCCGTGGTACCATCTGGGAAGGGCAACCGAATGATTGCACTTCGTGCAGGAAGCCGGGACACAGGTTTGATCGACGGTTGCGAGTTGGTCTTTGAGGCAAAGAAATCGAGTGGAGATTACCATCAGGAGATGAACGGAGATGTCTTCATGAATTGGATGGAACATCAGCTGTTGCCCAATCTTTATCAGCCCACTCTCATAGTGATGGACAATGCCAGCAACCATAATGTGCGGGAACCATGTAGCATCACACCGACAATGAGTAGCCTGAAGAAGACGATGCAGGATTTCCTCACATTGTGTGGTGTTCACTACAGACCGGCAGACACAAAGATACAGCTGATGGAGAAGATCCGCATGAACAGGAAGCCCATTCAGTACAGGGCCGATGTGCTGGCTGCTTAACACGGTCACGTTGTGTTACGTTCACCTGTGAGGCATTGTGAACTGAACCCGATCGAAATTATCTGGGCAAACTGTAAAGGGTTCGTTGCGAGGAACAACACTACCTTCAAGATCTCGCAAGTGAAGGAGTTGATCCATGCATCGGTTAGCAGGATAACCCCTGAAGTGTGGCAGAAGGCAGAAGACCACGTCCTTGACACTGAACGCCAATACCGTCAACGTGACGGAGTGGACATCAGTGTTGTGACACCTGTTGTGATCCAAGTGCATGAGGACACGGATTCAGACTCGTAAGGTTCGGATTAAGTGTTCTACTGGTCTTCATTCCTATGTCTGTTATAGTTGAATAAAATTTGTACTTGCATCGAGTTTAAGTCTCGTTCACACAGCCATCATAAATTTACTTTGATTAATTGATTATTTTCATGCACTGACTCTCCAGCAAATAAACAACAAGATAAAAAGTTATCATTGCTCATCCGTTTCTACTTCGACAAAGCCAGATCTCATCGCTGACAATATCTGTTCTAAAGAAGTTATACCAGTGACTTCGTTAAATCTTTGACCAATGTTCACACCTGGATTAAATCGACCGAATTACATCCATATTTTTGCGAAGAAATATACTGTTGACATGCAAAACGTTTATTAAGACGTTGCACATTTTACAATCAATCGATAAAATAACACAAGCGATGGGATTCTTTCTCATGCACAATAATTCGTATGTTTATTTCAAAACAAACACACACACACATATATATATATATATATCTATAGGTGTTGTTGGTGTGCGAAATGTGGATATCACATGATCCCAATACGTATACTATACGTACACATATTCAACATTATGAAGAAAACAAGCATTGTCACTAAGGTGACATAATCCCCCGCCGCAAATTATCAAATCAAACTTATGAAGTAATGAAAGTTTAAGTTAAATGTCAACAAAAACATGACCAGTCAACCTCTCTTGATGTATTGATCTTTAGGTGTTCAAACACACACATATTTTCAAGACTGACTTTGACATGAATGTCATGGTGTATGAAATATGCAAAAATAGTACTAAAGAAATTGCTTTTTGAAAAACATTTAAAGGAAGTCTTTGAAGAAGATCCAGTGAACTGTTTTTGAAATATCTTGCTCACAATTCAGGTTAACATGCTGAAATCTTCAAAGTGTCTCTGTGACCTTCCCTAGATAAAGCTTTGTATTGAATATGAAGAAAATCCAGTGAGCGGTTCTTAAGATAGCTTAACATGCAGGTTTACATGCTGAAATCTTCAAAGTGTCGCCATGACCTTGAAACTTATGTGAAGGTCACCAAAATCGACTGGTCCCTGCGCCTTTCCTAGATAAAGCTTGGTATTGAATATGAAGAGAATCCAGTGAACGGTTCTTGAGATAGCCTAACATGCAGGTTTACATGCTGAAATCTTCAAAGTGTCGCCATGACCTTGAAACTTATGTGAAGGTCACAAAAATCGACTGGTCCCTGCGCATTTCCTAGATAAAGCTTAGTATTGAATACGAAGAAAATCCAGTGAACGGGTTCTTGAGATAGCTTAACATGCAGGTTTACATGCTGAAATCTTCAAAGTGTCCCCATGACCTTGAAAATTATGTGAAGGTCACCGACTGGGCCCTGCGCCTTCCCTGGATAAAGCTTGGTATTGAATATGAAGAAAATCCTGGAAATGGTTCTTGAGATAGCTTAACATGCAGGTAAAACGTTAAAGTCCCCTTGTGACCTTGAAATTAAGGTCAAGGTCACCAAACTTGAACCTTTCTTATAATGTGATGAACCTAGGTACCAATTATGAAAAGAATCTAGTGAACGGTTCTTAAGATATTCCAATTCGTACGTACGTACGGACGGACGGACGGAGCCTAATACTATATCCCCCGCTTCGCGCTAAACGCGCGGCGGGGGATAAAAATGTATTGAGATGACCCCTCACCCTAGCTTGTGCTCAGGTGTCAATTTCACCTGTCGATGCTGATGACATAACACAGGCAGTTTCTGTTTGTATCAAATAACGTTCCACTACCCCTAGATTTTGATATTTTCATATGTACAAACACATGTTAGGGAATGTCTCAAAATGTATTCCCTTTATACAGTAGGTAGATGTTTCTTAAATTGATATTTGTTATTTAAGTAACTGTCATATCTCTGAGTTTTACATGAAAGTCAAAAGGCATTTTTCTAGCATTTCCGACAGTACTTCAGGAGATTAGGTTTCTTAAATGAGTTTCCCTCCTTGTAAGAACCACATTCGCTCTGTATCACCTTCACCTAACACATGGCAATAGTATGTCTCATTCGGTGTCCTCCCATTCTCCAGACAGCCATTCTTCAGACAGTCATTCCTCAGACACTTGAGCAGAGAGATTAATTACCCTCACCCCACAGCAATAATGGAACAGCTTAATTAGCCTACTCAGTGTTCAGGAGAGTAGAGATATTTTAAACGGAGATTCAAGCATCTATTCTGTACTGAATAGGCCACATGCATATAGTACATAAAACATACACAGATTTATATCGCCCGAGTAGTAACTTTTACATTCCCTTTATACTCAGGTGTTTTTGTTGTTTTTTGGGGTTTTTGTTTGGTTTTTTTGTGTGTTTTTGTTGTTGTTTTTGGGGTGGGGGTTGTTTTGGGGTTAGCAACACCACTCTTACACAATTTCTATTTTTTGTTTCCCCTCATTTCTTAAACAGGGACTACACAGTCGCCGACATACCTTAGTTTTGCGTGCGACGTTAAATAAAGCAAATACCAGCACCATCAACTTTTACATTTTCTTCAATGTTGCATGGAATATAAACATTGATAAATGCTGAAGTATTTAAATGTTTGTACTTGTAAGTAATTATATAGGTTTAATAACGTTTGGATATCAATAAATGATTTTGGTAAATATTTTCTTCTAAGAACTGAGTACAGCGGACAAACAAGAAGGAAATGGTACTCATCCTCGACAGTATTTATATCACAACATTAGTGTTAGTATAGCGTCCAGTTTATATAAATAAATTTATTCATGAGATGAATGCATGAGTGAGTGAGTTATTATTTAACGTCACATCGGCAATATCTCAGCCATATCGTGACGAAAACAATCAATACAATACAAAAATGAAAACATTGTGAAGAGTAAAACCTGTCGACGACGGACAGTGAAATAGTAGAGTGTCACAGATATGAACATAAAACAAGCATGTAAAACTAAAACAGTGTAATTAAAAACAACAATACAATATACAAAAACAGCTATTAATCGCCAGTAATCATGAGATGAACATCAGAAACGTGATAATGCAACTCGGAACATCTTTACTGTTATCTTAGAGAGGTACCGCTCCAAACATATTTGCGCTTTTAAAAGTTTTTAATAGAAACATTTGTTTGATAGAGTCAACAATTCAAACCGTGTCTACACATAATATCCTTAAGTCCTTGAGTTGTTTTTATATTCGTTACCCAATTATTTTTCCATTATCGTCATAAAATATCATCATATTGTAACATATTTTGGAAAATCTATGTGCAGGCATGTTCAACAATCTTAATCAGTATTTGATAGCCTTAACTTGACAAAATATATGCATCGGGAATCTGTCACATTCACCATAAACCATAACACTAGATGCACTTCTTTATTCATTTTCCTTTTCAAACCATGCATTCGAGAAAGATTCCATAGTTATTTTTATTTACCGAGTCAAATGCTTTCATGAAATCTACAAAAAGAGCATAACATTTACCACTTAATTGTATTTGACATATATAAATAGAGATGAACATTTCATTACATGTTATTCATGACAACATGATGTTATCATATGAATGAATTATATACATACATATTATGTCAATGTGGTTGTTGTCCTTTCTCAATTGAAATACTTAACTGGGTTCTTCCATTTCTCTGTCAAGGTAACAGCTTTCTCGAGTGCTGTGCATTAGACCGTACATGTTGTTGTTTTCAGCTGTCTGAAAACCAACCCCTACTGTAATGCAATAGTAAAAAATGAAGCCAGTCTAGACCCCCACAGATTCTGAATCTCCGAAATCACTGGGGCTAAATCAGTATATACGGAGTTATATATTGCTATCAAAATTTCCTATTTTCAGAGGCTGACACTTTGCATTACGTGCCAGGTTCCTGTAAGTATGGATCCAAACATGCTCCGGATATGCTTATTGATTTTCCAAGACCATATCTAAACTGAGGGGCAAAAGAAACGCTGGCTTCTAATTTTCACATCTAATAAAAACATATGACAAGGTATGTCAACAGATATCATTGTATTTCACAGACACAACAATTAACATCAGGTTGACCGACTTTAACAACCACATGATGACATTGTAAGGAATAGTGAGCATTCTTGTAACATGTGTTGGATTGTCCATAATTCGTTCACATTCCATTTCATGTTACCATTACACAAATCAGTTAAAAGTGTAATTCCATCATCAATAGCGAGTATGTCTACCTATAGCAAGTATGCAGTCCCTGACACGATGTCGTACAGACGTTACCAGTCCCCTCACAAAGGCTGGAGTGATGTGACGCCACTGTTCTTGCGGTGCCTGCGTCAACGTCTGTCTGTCATGTGGACGTTGCTGACGTTGCCGAATCCGTCTCCAAAGATGGTCCCAGAGGTGTTCTATGGGATTCATGTCAGGGGATCTGGCTGGACACGGAAGAACTTGTATGTTGTTGACATTGAAATACTCTCTGGTAGCACGTGCAGTGTGTGGAGTGGCGTTATCCTGTTGGAACAGCGTTCTTGGGTTATTCTGCAGGAATGGAAGCACGATTGGTGTCAAGACCTGGTAAATATAGAGGTCAGCGTTGAGGGTACCATTTGTAACCACCAGGTCGGTCTTAGTGCCACCACAAATACTGCCCCAAATCATCACACTTCCGCCGCCACGAGGATGCACTTCTTGGACGCAGCAACGTGACGTTCGTTC